TACTGTTAAAAAATACAATTTATTAAACCATAAAGCTTGGGGTTCAAAAAAAAGTACCTAATCATCCTAATTAATTTTTGACACCATATCAATCCAAAGTTGGTATAAAATTGAATTAGATTTCTTTACAAAATGGTGTAATGGTCATTTCACCATCTTTCATCTACACATGTAAATGAGGTCCACAAAACAAATGTACTCCATTCAAAAATAAGATGGGATGAGATAATATTCATTAAGAATGAACCAATTCAAACTACTATACATTGGCTTGGATTGAATTGAATTCGATTTTAAATCCATTCCAACCCAATCCGATCCAAACACCCCCTAAGTAGCTATGGATGTCAATACGTTGGCTGAACGAGAATTGGGTATTGTGGGTTAATTAATTAATTGGGAATTATCTACTTTGTAATCAATGGACTGGGTTACGCAGCCCAATGCAACCTAGCTATCATCATTTCAAAGGCCCAAGACAAAAAAAAACGGACCCAACCCAATTGAAGCCTTTTCGGGTAATTTTCAGAGAGAGAAAGAGAGGGGAAGGAATAAGGTCACTCGAGCTGTGGAAGAACAGAGAGAACGAAATAAGGTCACTCAGAGCTGTGGATGAAGAGACAAGGAAATGAGGAATAAGGGTTTTATCACTTCTTTTTTGATCACTCTCATTAATTTTTCTCGAGCTGTAGAAGAACAGAGAAAAGGAAAGAATGAATAAGGGATTTAAGCACTTCTCTCATTAATTTTACTCGAGCTGTGGAAGAGCAGAGAAAAGGAAATAAGGAATAAGGGTTTTAATCATTTCTCTGCTTCACTGGTAAGCAAATCTCTTAATGTTCCACTGATTTTCTTTCTCTTTCCCTGACGATCATTACTAGTAGCCTTTTCTCACATATGCAAATGAGAATTGAAGTAACTATTTCGAATATGACTGAAAAATTATACAGTTAAATAGGTACTCTATATTATACTTCAATGAACTACAGTATCCAAATTTGAATTATTCATTGTAGGTTTTCCAGTACATGTATCGCGTTCAACTTGACAGTTGAGACCCAAAGATTATCCTCGGTACAATGGTACCCATTTAGAAGATTAACATAAAAAGTTGGTCTTTACACATGATATGTACTGTATCCAAGTGAACAACACAACTCACTTCAATGCTTCATTGAATGTCCTATTGTAGGGTTGTCTATTACCAGCTTCTGGGTTACTCAAGAACAATGAAATCCATAGTATTTATGCACTCCTATACACTTTTATAGAGTGGAGTTACTCAACAATGGTCTCACTACCGTCAAAAAATATATGGATGCGGCGCCAACAATGCCCATGTGGGGATTGGAAATGTTTTGTTAGCTATGAAGGAGAGGTGGAAGAGACAAATATAGGATGTCAATTGATGAAAAATGATTTGGCATCAGCAGACGCTATGGTTGCCCCTTACGTGGGAATGGTATTCAAAAGTGACGATGATGCATTTGAATATTATGCCAATTTTGCTAGAAAGAATGGGTTTTCAATCAGGAAAGAGCGGTCAAGGTTGAGCCCACAATTGGGTATTTATAAACGAGACTTTGTTTGTTACCGTTCTGGTTTTGCACCAACAAGAAAAAAGCCTACTGGAGAGCACCATAGGGATAGGAAGTCGGTAAGGTGTGGATGTGATGCGAAAATGTATTTGTCAAAGGAGGTTATTGATGGTGTTTCTCAATGGTTTGTTGTACAATTCAGTAATGTGCACAATCATGAACTCCTGGAAGATGACCAAGTGCGGCTCCTTCCTGCGTACCGCAAAATTCATGAGGCTGATCAAGAGCGCATTCTGTTGCTTTCCAAGGCTGGTTTTCCCATACATCGTATAGTTAAGGTGCTTGAGTTGGAAAAGGGAATACAAGGTGGACAGTTGCCCTTTCTTGAAAGGGATGTCAGGAACTTTGTTCAAAACCGTAAGAAAGTTGTTCAAGAAAATGATGCTTTACTGACTGAGAAAAGAGAAAACGATACAATAGATCTTCTTGAGGCCTGTAGGGCTACGAAAGAGACGGATGCATGCTTTGTTTATGATGTTACTGTGGATGAGAATGATAAAATTGAGAACATTGCTTGGTCATATGGAGACTCTATTCAAGCATACAACATGTTTGGTGATGTAGTTTATTTCGACACAACATATCGTTCAATCACCTATGGTATGCTTTTTGGAGCATGGCTTGGCATTGACAACAATGGCAAAATCCTCTTCTTTGGTTGTGCTCTGTTGCAGGATGAAACACCTCGTTCCTTTGCGTGGGCTTTACAGGTTTAAAACTTATATGATCAGTACATAAATGTTTTCAATTTATTCTCGTAATGTTATTTGCTTATTGTATTCATTGGTGTAGGCTTTTCTGCATTTTATGAAAGGAAGATGTCCGCAAACAATTATATCTGATCTTGACCCTGGGCTTATAGATGCTATAAGAAGGGAATTACCAAACACTAAACATGTTGTTTCTTTATGGAGTATTCTGCCAAAAATGCCCTGCTGGTTTTCTCTTCCACTTGGACCGAGGTTTGCAGAATTCAAATCTGAGTTTGAAGCATTATATCATTTGGAGAATAGGGAGGATTTTGAATTCCGATGGAATCAGATGGTTTCCCAATTTGGACTTAATTCAGATAAACACATTGCTTTAGTCTTCTCCCTGCGGACATCTTGGGCTTTATCCTACATCCGAGGCTGCTTTCTTGCTCACATGTCAACGACATCATATTCTAAATCTGTAGATGCATTTTTGAAAGGGGCCTTCAAGGCACAAGCATGTTTGCGTAGCTTTTTTGAGCAGGTATATTAGTTGTGACTACATCTCTTGGTTTCCACGTGTTACACTAGACAGTTTCTACTGGCACTTGATATTTAAAGATTGTTTGTTGTTTTTTGAAACTTTTGCAGGTGGGTGTTTGTTTAAATTCTAAAACGCGGGCTCCTGAAGGAATGCAGTACATGCATGTCAGAACATGTTTACCAATTGAAGAGCATGCACGGAATATTCTTTCTCCATTCGCCTTCAATGCATTCCAGCATGAGTTGGTCTTAGCAATGCATTATGCTACATCTGAAATGGTTAATGGATCATATCTTGTACGCCACTTCAAGAAGATGGATGCAGAACGCCTGGTTTTATGGATACCAGAAGAAGAAGAAGTTCACTGTTCCTGCAAGGAATTTGAGTCTTCAGGAATCTTATGCAGACATGCTCTTCGTGTACTTCTAGTAAAGAACTACTTTCAACTCCCTGAAAAGTACTGTTTGAGTCGATGGCGGCGAGAAAGCTCACTAGTTTCATATGATAATCACAGTAATCAAAATGGAAATGATGAATGGTTTCAAGAAATTCATTCCCTCACTGCAACTCTGCTGTCTGAGTCGTTGTTCACAAAGGAACGCTCTAATTATGTTCATACAGAACTTACAAAAGAAATGACAAGACTGATTAATGAGGTGAGGGATATGCCAGCTGCTGATGGAACCACTATGGATTCAACACTTTCACCAACTAGTTGATTTTTCGAGTAATCCTGCTCCCCATGTGTCACATGCAATAAGCGGAGTCTTGTGTTGATAGACATGAGGGCAGCTGAAAGAGAGCATGACACAGGGAGATAAAGAGCCAAAAGGATGGGGCTTTCTTCATGTAATTTCGTGACATCAGATAAGGACTTGAGGAATTTTGCTGAATATTCTGTTCCATTGCTGGTGAAGGTTGTGTTTTCATGGATAATAATTTCCGGAGGCTGTAAAGAAAATGAAGGACAAAGTCAATTAATTGAGGTGGTGTAATGGGTATAATTTCATAAGTGGGATTCTAAAGAAGGAAGAGGAGTATATTTATCTTCATTGGCCAATTTTTTCCTTTACTGGCAAAAGTTTCTTTGTTTTGAGTAAAATGTTGGCTTGATTTTGAAACGTAAAGGAAGGGTTGACACGGATTTTTGTTTTCGTTGGCCCCCTGAAACTTGATCAATGCCTTCTTTCAATTTCAGTTCCGTGCGCAAATCGTCTGTAATTGAAGAAGTCAAAGTAAGTCATGTTGTTCTGGATACTGTTCTGTTAGAAAAGGAAAAAATGAGTGGATGCTTCCAATTAGTGGCATGAGTGTTAAAAAAAATCATGCTATTTGCTAATGCTCGGTTGGAAAACTATCAAAGACCTTTCAGTTTCAGTGGTGATGAGCTTTTAGGGTAGGTATCCTGTTACATATTATGTCCATCTTTGGTCAGGGAATTCTATTTATGCTTAGAGGTTAAGAGAGTGTTTTAGTCCATGTGCAAAGTTCCTGATTTTTCCAGTTGTGAACGACTCTGAGAGGATATCAAGTAGTGAGCAACATTTAGTTTTATATGTTCCTCCACTGAGAAACACGGGCCAAAGATTTGAGATTTCCCCACATATGACTTACAATGGCTTCAACTGTTCTTAATAATATCATGATCTTTGATGGTGTATGTCACACAATTAAGCAGGGTTTATGATAGTGATCACTAAATGGCTCAGTCGGAACTCTTACGCTCTTAAAAATTGAACAAGAAAAGTAGGGATTTGCACACAGAGAATTTATAGTGATTTTACCAGCTCGGGAGATCAGCAAATCCACTCTAAAGGGAGTCTGTTGCTCTCGGGGATGATATTATTGATAATAGGGGAAAAATTACATAGGGTATTTGCTTAGGCTAGTTGTTTGTGTTTTATTATGAGGAATCTGCCTCTTATTTATAGTCAGTTGAGGCCTTATCTAATACTTGGCGTGATTCTTGTTTTCTTCTTGTAATGGTTGCACTTTTTATGCAATTGTCATAGACATTGTTAAGACGGTTACGATTTCCTTACCCAAATATAAGATCGTTATGTTATGTGTGGTACTTGCGTGGAAGTCAGTTGTCTTCTGTGTTATTCCTGTGGAGGTGCAGTTGTTGGGGATGAGGTATCGACCTTAGATTCCCTAGTCATCTGTGATGGGCTAAGTGGTCTGAGCTTGGAAGGTCCAAGATGAATACGCAAGCTCAACATTAGGCATATTTTGGGTATCATCAGTTGGCCCCTAGTCCTCAATCAAGTAGATTACTTGAGTTGAGGCTAATCTCTGATCTTAGTGAGTGAGGTTAGCTTGGTTTGCCCTTAAGATTCGCACGATGAGACGTTTCTCAACTTTTATGGCGTTGCAAACGCGCAATGAGTTACTTTCACTTTATTTCTCGCGCACGTCCTTTACCCCCAGGTTCCATGTGTTTGTTCATACACCTGCCTTAAATACATTTGCAGGCGAAACCACCTTATCATTTCGAATTCCCTTCTCATTCTTCCTTCAGATTTCTTTCTTTTCTTCTTCTTTACGATGTCATCTTCTCCAATCTCTTGGTGACCTAGGGTTTCAATGGTAAGCACCCAAATTTGCTCTGGAGTATCTGTGAAGCTAGCTTTGTTTGTTCCTTGAATCCACCTCGGGTCTTCGATTGTTGATCGCCTTCGATTAGGTACATCCTCTGCCTTGTTTCTTTTCTTGTCTTCTTCCTAAGGTTCTTAGCCCATCCTGGATCCTGCTAGTCCTAGGTGGTTACTCGATTTCTGGACCTTCTATTTTTTCTATTTTATGGGTTATGGTCGTTCTTTGTCTTCTCTTCCCCTCTTCTTGGATTCTTACTCTACTGCTAAAGTCTTCCTTTTTGGTTGTTGGAGCCTTGATCTTAGGGCTCTTGAAGACTATTTTACCAACGTCTCTCCTCTTTACTCCTTTAATCTTTCTTTCTCTTACATCTTCATGTCTGCGTCGTCCGAAGTCACTACAGATCTCTCGGGCTCGAGGAAGATGACATGGGGGACAAGATAGACAACTTTCCTGGTGTCGAAGCTCTCAAGGGCCAGGTCGCTAAGGTGGAGGTACCCCAGACCTTGTCGAGTCTAACTCTGAGGTCAAAGAAATCTTAAAAAGGAAAGTCTAAGAAAGGTGAGATTGGAACCTTTGGTAGTGTTGAGGGTGCTGAGGTCGTACTTCAGACCTCAGACCTTGCAGGGTTCAGTGAGGTCACCCCTCCCTATTTAGGCGTCCTCTTTGCCAGGTTCAGTTTCCCTAAGGGCATGTATTATTGGTCTCCTAATGTGGACATTAGGTACGATACCATGGTGCTCAAGATAGTCTGTTTCTTTGCTGCTTCTTTCGAGAATGGCCTTAGGTTTCCGTTGCATTCATTTCTCAAGTCTGTTCTCCAATACTTCCATGTTTGTTCCGCCCAAATTTCTCCCAACTTTTGGGGTATTTTGGTGGGTATCCTTGTCTTCTTTAAGAAGAATGAGCTCGGTGTCCCTACAATACCTTTGCTTATGAAATTTTTTAACGTCAAGTTCTCTCCCTTTGATGGTTTCCTTTATATTGCCAAACGGGTGAAAGCTCAATCTCTGATCTCCAACCTTCCGAGTTCCCATAAGGGTTGGAAGAAACTTTTTCTATTCGTGTTTGGGAAGGAATGGGAGTTCAACTTGAGGGATGCCACTGATACTCTCCTTGTACCTCGGGATTGGTCAACCCTTGACAATCTAGGTAAGTCCTTACTGAGGTGGCCTGGTCTGAATTCTTGTGCTTGCTGACCTTGTTTCTTTTCATTGTTTCAAGTATCCGTCCTAACCTTAGTGCAAACGATAGGATAGGCATGTTGGGTCTGGAAGATTGTCGACCTGAGAGGTATTCAGAGCTTCTCAAGTGTTCAGTGCTTACTCGATTCGAGCTTAGTCCTTCCGAGGTGAGAGTTGAGACTCCCATTCCAATATCCGTGGTCAGTATGAAAGATTTTGCTGGTAAGGCTCTCATCCTTTGTCCATAGTTATAACTTTTTTCTAGTTAGTCTAATTAATCAACTGTCTTCCTTTCCTAGGTCCGAGCTCAATGGCCTCAGATGCCAAAACAGTGAAGGCCAAGTTGGACTAGATGAGGAAAAACATGGCAGTAGGGAAACACAAGGTTGAGGCTGGATTTGGAGGTGACCTAGAACATCCATAAAAAATGGAAAAGGCAAAAGTGGCCTCACCTCCTCCGCCGACCTTTCTTCTTGAGAAGACATCTCCTCACCCATTACCTCTACTTGAGGAGACCCTTCCTGCTCCGAATATTTCTACTGCCCCCAAGTTGCATGTTGGGGGGTCTTCCTAAATCTACGTCAAGAAGCATTCTTTCTCTGTTAAAGAGGTGGCAGAGGCGTTGGGGTCCTTGGTTCCATCTTTGCGGTGTCCCCTTGCATTGAAGCAAGCTAATAAGGCATCTACTCAACTGGTCTCTGGTAAAGCTGAGAGCTTTTCCTGTCGAACTGCTCAAGGCAAGGGTTCACTCATCAGGGATATGAACCTTGTTGTCAACGCTCTTCTGTTTGTTATCCCAAAGTCTGACATCCAAGAGGTTGCCTCGATGCCTTTGTCTACTTCAGCAGGCACTGCTCTTTTTGGGGTAGCCTCAGTAAGTATCTGGTTGATATGTCTTCCATCTAAATTTGACCCTACTTTAAAACTTCTGACCTTAGGTCTCGCTTATTTGTGCATATGGCAATCTATGTGGGAGCTCTGGTGAAAAGGGTTAGAGCTTCAGAGAGTGATGTCGAAGTGGCTCAGAAGTCTTCAAAATCCTCTGAGCTTAAGGTCTCTGAACTATCCTTCTCCAATGTTGATCTGTGGGCTCAAGGGTAGGACTTGAAGGCTCACGTGCAAAGCCTGTGCTTAGCGAACAAAGACCTGGAGGTTGAGGTCACGAGGAAGGTTGACGAGATCAAGCTCAAGACAAATGGTTTGTTCCAAGCATGGAATGATGTCTGTGAGGCCCATGATGCTGTCCAAGCAATGAAGAATGACTATAAGGAGCTCGCTAAGGTCAATTTCGTCCTTCTGAAGGAGGTTCAGGAGGAAAGGGCCAAGGTGTGGGAGAAAGATACCCAAATTGCTGAGCTTCATGATAAGTGTGGTACGAATTGAGCCAAGGGATACTTTGCATTCCAAATGCAGGCTATGAAAAATACCCTGACCAGGACTTTGACTTCGTTCCTTCTTTGGATTAGGAGGAAGGGTTAACTGCAGAGAAAGAGGCTGAGGTCGAGGTCGAAGCTCCTAGTGTTGTTCTTGCTAGGGATAATGTTGAGGCTCCTAGACCTGTTCCTACTAAGAGTGAGGTCCAGACTTTTGAGTTGGTTCCCACCGAGACCGAGGTTCGGACTTTTGAACTTGCTCCACTCCTACTAGCTTCTACTAAGATGGCTGTGGAAATTCCTATGACTGACTTGGCAGTCCCTTATCCTCCAACTATTCCTACTAATGATGAGGCCTCTGAACCTTTTCTTCCTGAAGATCTTCCTACTTCAACCAATCTTTCTTCTGCTTTAGTTGTGCTAGATAGAGTGACTACTTCTGAGTTGACCCGAGTTACTAAAGAAATTGTGGATCCAGCTGTTGACACTTAGGGCTTTCTGTTTTTTTTTTCTACTTTGTAATTGATTTGGAAGGAATGAAAGAGTTATCTTTTTGCTTATTTTTGTGTTATCTTTCCCCTTTGCCCCTTACTTCGAGAAGAGCTTTGGCCTTTTGGAAGCATTTTTGTTTTGCCAGAATTTCAAGTGTGGGGTATGTTCATGAGCTAATGAACTCATCTTAGATACAAGTTGAGAAACTTTTAGTTATGAGTTGAAGAACTCATCTTAATTTTAAGAGCTGGGAAGTCCATTTTTAGTTTATGAGTTAAAGAACTCATCTTAAGTTTATGAGCTGAGAATCTTATCATTAGTTTATGAGTTAAAGAACTTATCTTAAGTTTATGAGCTGAAAAACTCATATTTAGTTTATGAGCTGAGTAGCTCATCTTTAATTTATGAGCTGAGGAGCTCATCTTAAGTTTATGAAGAACGACAATTGATCCAAACTTCTTGTTTATTGCAGTGGAGTTTTACAGAAGTAGGATTCTTAGCTATTGAATTTTTTTTTCAAGTGCTCAACGTTCCAGGAGTGAGGCAAAACTCTTCCTTCTTTAATCTGTAACTCATAATTCCTTAGTCTGATTATTCTGGACACGATGTATGGACCTTCCAAATTGAGCCCTAACTTTCCATAAGTGGGGGTCTTTCCTTGTTGGGATGAGCTTTTTAAGGATTAGGTCTCCCACCTTGAAGCTTCTATGTCTAGCCCTCCTGCTATAATATCATGCTATTTTTCTCTAATAATCAAGGATGTGTTACAAGACTTTGTCCTTCTTCTCATCTAAGAGGTTGAGGTTGACAAGGAGCAACTCGTTGTTTTG